GACCGTGGATGGAAAACTATTTTGGGTCATCTTTTCCATCAGAGCCCCCTTGGGGCAAGCCTATTGAAGAGTGGCCTCTGCGGATCAATGCGGGCGGCCCGCCCCACGAAGATGTGTACGACAAGAAGTGGCGACAGGACAAATACTTCACGGAGCAAGCCGGCCCTACGGGTCTCTATTACGAAAAGAGTTTCGTAAGCCGTCACATAAGCGCGCTTCAGAAACGAGCGCTTTGTACCGTTCGTTTCTGAATCAGACGCAGTCTCGTCCTATGGAGCCCCTCGCCCACACGGGTCGTGAGGATTTTGTCTACTCGATACCAGTGGAGTCCCCCGTCGCCGTCGTCGTCAATCTCTACTTCGCTGAGGTAAACAGACGTGTCCTCGCGAAGCAAAACATCGTTGTGACAAGGATATGTACGATAGGTCATCCACAAAGGGAAAACTGGACAGCGTGTCCAAAATGTTTACGTAGAGAACAACCAAGTGCTCAGTGATTTTGACATCTTCGCCACAGCTGCGACTCTCATCGCCCCCGAAGGCACCAAGGTAAAAAAGACCGGATTGACCCAGAACACCTATCTGCAACCTTCAATTGTCTTTTCGCCTGCCATCCCTTCTGAAAGGAGGTCAGGTATATATCAAAGGACACGAGAACGCAGGATGTCGTTGGCAACTCCACCGTGACTGTCTACAATGGCCCAAACGAGCCCTTCGGCACCATCGTCAAAGTCGAGACGCCCATGGCAGTAATCGAGGACAACGCCATTGACATCAGAGGCGAAGCGGTGAGAAACACAGCATGGCTCACGGCCATCGAGGTCTACGCCACAGAAGTGGTGCTGGATATCACCGTCACGGCTGATAGCCCCACACAGACGGAGCCGTTCACCGCAATTACATTCGCACCGGAAACGCCTACACAGGTGTGTCAAATCGAAAGAGTCCCAGCACTCCATTCAACAACCCTCCTGCCTGTCTGGCTCACGGTGTGTCTTGCCTGTCAGACGCTTACGATTGAGAACAGAGACAGTCGCGACTCGAAGCTAACGATGTCGTTTGAGGGCGGCAACGACGACCAATTCGCGGTCGAGCCTGCAGAGGTCATGCTCAAGGCGGGAGAAGGTTCAACCGTCGAGGTCACGTGGACCGGAGCCGATACTGCGGATGGCCCTGTCGTCACCTCGCTCAAGCTATCCAAACACGTAACAATGAACAAGGAAGGGGTCTCTAGCGAATGACCCGTGTATTCATTTGTGTGTGTGTGTGTTCATGCGTATATTGCAGCTTCGTGTGTTAATTTCAGCCGATGTAACCAGTAAGGAGGCCATGCTCGACGTGCAGAGCGGCATACAGATGGGTCTCATCA